ATTATTATAATATTATATATTATAATAATATTATAATATTTTATATTATTATAATATATGTTATAATATTATTATAATAATATAATGTTATCTATTATTAAAATATTATATATTATATTATATATTATTATAATATTATATATTATATTATATATTATTATAATATTATATATTATATTATATATTATTATAATATTATATATTATATTATATATTATTATAATATTATATATTATATTATATATTATTATAATATTATATATTATATTATATATTATTATAATATTATATATTATATTATATATTATTATAATATTATATATTATATTATATATTATTATAATATTATATATTATATTATATATTATTATAATATTATATATTATATTATATATTATTATAATATTATATATTATATTATATATTATTATAATATTATATATTATATTAATATTATATTATATTATATTATATATTATATTATATTCTTTAGTATAAATAACATATCTGCATTTTATTTATGTGAATACGAAGAATATCATTTCCTATAAATCATTCTTGATCATCGTTATTTATTTTTATTTTCAATTGAGACATTCAATTTTTGTTTACCTAATAACATAATGTGATATTCAATAACAATTGAAAATGGTTTCCAACATATAAAATTAAATTATTTATATTTTAATGATCATTTCATAGAAATTTGAAAAATGTGGTTCTATATCATCATTTCTATGAATAATAGTTTTATTAGTAAAAGAAAACAGCAACTAGATTAGCTAACAACTAGATTAACTAGCAAAAGATTTGTTGACTTTAAAACGAAAGACTCTATATTTTGATCCAATGATTCTTGGAATTATATTTGCAATTTATAATACTCACTGCAATTTGATAAACGCGAATTAAGTTCCTCTTTCAATTGTGCATGTCTATGTTCCAGTTGTAGTTCTTGTTGTCTTATTCCAAGTTCTTCATCACGACGTCTATATATAAACATAAAAAAGTATTAATATATAATATATATAAATCTATATTATTATTAATATATTTACTTTAATTGAGTAACATTTCGCCATATTTCTAGTAATTCTTTTAATAATTTTTCATCACTATTGCCAATGTTATTTGAAGCTTCCAAACTATATAAAAAAAATATGTATATAAATATGTTTGTATGTTAATGTTTTAAATTAGTAATGCATATATAAAAATGAATAAATATTTGTGGTAAGACTCATTATAAAATGCAGTGCATTAGTACAAATAAGAACACTACATCTAATAGAACTTCTTTGTTTAAAAAACTATAATAAAATCGTTATTATAATTTTTGCTAATGAAAACATAATTATCTAATTGTATCTTTAAGAAGAGATAGAGAGACAATATTATACAATATCACAATATCTGCATATTTATTTTTATTTACCACTTTTATTTTCTTTGCTTTCAAAATTGAAAACGTTGGTTTAAAGGTTTTCTACAGAATTTGTTCTTGAAAAATTTTTTTATTTTTGCTTTTCAAGTGCTGTTAACTGGCACTTTTCATTTCATTTTTGTTTGTTGTCTTAGCACGGTTTAGTGGCATTTTGTTTGTTCTTCATTTTATTTGTAAGTAAATATTCCAAATAATTTTATTATTTTTTTGCTTTTTAAGTGCTGTTAACTGGCACTTTTCTTTTGATTTTTGTTTGTTGTCTTAATGCGGTTAAGTGGCATTTAGTACATATAAATAAGTACTTATTACGAAAGTATCTAACGTTCTATTATTTATTGAATCGAGAGACAAATCAAATTTGCTTTATTATTCATCAAACGTCTGTTTGTAAATGATCGTAAAGTTTGATAAGATACTTAATGCCACTTGTCTTTCATCTTTTTCAACATATGTTCGTCTATATAGCACAGTAAAGTAACTCGCTTTTTGATACTCTGCAAGAATTATTTAACTGAATTGAAGATTTCGAAAATTACTTCTATTACTGTTTTTATTGTATATGTTTATGCAACAGTAAGAATGTAAATAAGTAGAAAAAAAGCTGAGTAGATTTATTATGTTTGGTTTTTTTTCTAATAAGAATTTCAAATAATGGAAACGAAAAAGAAGCACACTTTGTAGTACCATAATTTATACTTAAACAATTGTGAATTTAGTTTAAAGTACAAACTAGGTCTGTTCCACCAGCTACTCGTAGTAAAACAAAAGTAAAGTACAAACTGAGAGCTTAACACAAATAAAGTGCTAAATTACGCTTTTTACATAGATTTTCATGGAACAGCTTTGTGTAAAGTCTGGTGGGAACACCAGTACCGTGCAAATAAACAATACAAAAATTTAAATTCAAACAAAAACAGCTGATTCACACATCAACTCAAATTGTACTTGAAATAAAAAGTACGAGTAACGTCTGTGTAGTATTTTCAAATTGCGACAGGGATGTTACGCTCTCTCAGATGGTCTCATTTACTCGAAAACTTGTTGGTGAAACGTACTTGTTTATACACAGTGTTACTCATAGTTATTACGAGTAGCTCGTGGAACAGACCTATTATAAATTTATCGTTACTTATTTTTATTTTAGTATAAAAATAATTATAAATTTTATTTTTTAATTTTTTGTAATTGTTTTGCTTTCATGATGTTTTGAAGTTTACGTTTGTGAAGTCTTACTTTTGAATTGTACAATGGATTTTATTATAGGTTTTTTAAATATTTAGTCAAAATATTATAATGTACTTCTTACAGTTAATACTATGTAGATTGAATGACTGTTATAAGGTCTTACTTAAAATTTACTCAATTGATTAAAGAATAAATAATTTTTAATTAATTTATTAATATATAATTAAACATACGATGCTACTTACTTTTCTAAATTTTGTTGTTCTTCGCCACGTAGAGCCTTCTCAATGAGTACTCCACGTGCTTCCAGTTCTTTTAGCTGTACTTCAATTTCTTCCTGTTCTCGCTGAATTTCTTGAGCGATTCTTAATCGCTTAAGTTCAGCTTGTCGTACAGCCTTAGATATGGCACGTTGCTTTTTATGCTCTCGCGTCTCGGTAGCGTAGCTCTCATCTAAATTATATATTAAGTACAGTACAATTAGTTTATTCATCTTTATCGCATTTTATTTTATTTAATTTATTTAAATATTAATAAAAAATATAAAATATTTTTATGATTAACATTAAACAGAAATTAATTATGATTAACAAAAAATATGCAACAAACCATCTGATCTCTGGTAGTGAAGTGGTAGCGGCGGAATCGGAGGCGGTATTTGATCTTCGGCGTTTTGATGAATTGATGATGCACAATTTAATTTATTATTTGCAAAGTATAACTGCGGACTGGATGATGAAAACGTTGCACTTGGTGACAGTTTCTTGTTGTGTTTGTTGTTAATGTTATTGTTACTGTTACTGTTTTGGTGGCTATGATTGTTTCGGGTGTATGTTGTTGCCTTATGATGGATGCATTCTTGTGAGTTACTGCGTTCATGTGGCAACTTCGTTGCAATGGTTTTTGTTGGTGTAGTTCTGGTTGATAATGAAGTTGTTGTTGGCACAGTATTCCTTATAAATCCGTCCTTATCCTGATTTATTTTATGTTTTAATATTTGTAAATTTTTTTATTGAGTTTTTTTTTTTGTAATGCAAAAAATGATTAGTTTTTTGGCGAAATAAATTTTGAAAATATTTTTATTAAATAAAATTTAAAGAGTGTATTATAAAAAAAGTGTGTTTTGAAGAGAAAGTTATAAATGAATATGTTTTAAAGTGTAAAAAAATATGTGTGTAGTTGGGAGGAAGAGCATTGTGCAGCGTGGCAGCATTAGAAAAAAAATTAACATATATGTAAGAAATTTTCATTTTAAGGATTTTTAGTTTCAAATTATAATATAAAAAAAATATATTTATTTACGAAATCATCCATAATTTGTGATTATTTTACACAATAAAGTCATTAAATGAACGCTCGATATTCTAGCACTATCTTGCATATACTCTAAATGGAGTAAATGAATACAAATAGTATAGGAAAGGATATTTTTAAAAATAACTTAAATATTGTAAAAGTATGGAGAGATACAAATGTGAGACACCTTACCAGAAATAATTGCACTAATTTTATTTTACTTGTTCTAGTATAAAAATAGACTAAAAAATAAAGTGAAGATTTGGAAGGAAACGCAGAATTTACAGTTCATCTAATATAAATTATTTATAAAATACCAGTATGAATAGAATTCTTTCCCTGACAGTAAAAGTCACATAGAAGCCCCTGAGCTGTTATTGATATCAGTTGAAGATATTATTAAAAGGTGTACGACTTAAGTAAGTTTACATAATTTTAGGTATTTATTTATTTATTTGAATCTAAATCTAAATTTAATAGTTCCTTTGTTATAGGAGAGCTCAAAATACATCAATATCTTATTGGACAAGTCAGATATATATATAGATTGTATTATTTTTTTCCAAATCGTTAAAGGTAATCCAAATTGTTTTATATATTTTTTATGGCATAATAATACTCAAAAGATTTTATAAATTCTCTTTAAGGAGTTTTTTTTAATAAAACTGAAATAAGTTTTTTTTAAAAATTGATGTCTATATATAATAACACCTTTCTTAAACAGCATTCGAATATAAGTTCATAACACTAAACAGTATTTGGGTCTTCTGAATAAGTTTTTAAATCACAGTATGAAATTATAATTTTATATATTTAATTGGATATATTGAATTTATATTGTATGATATTTCATTTCTTTAGCATACGATTATTAAAATACCACAAAATGGTAAAGAAAGTAAAAAATTCAAGACATTGGTAAGTAATATAAATCCAATAAAAAATATTAAAAAATTATTATATTATACTTTTAAAAAAAGGTTTTTTGAAAAATAGTGAACTACAACAACAAAAATTATTTTTATATTATATTAATTTATTGAGTTTATGGCTGACCATACAGTTGTTTCGAGTATTGCCAAATACCTATCAACAGTGGTCTTGGAAATAATTCTTGTATTTAATTTGTAAATAATTTTTCAAGACTGCAAGTACCAGGGATTAAACTCGTGCCCTGCCATATTAAAGCTCAGAGTCAGCGTTCATTAGCCAATTGACCCAAAGCCGTACTTTACTTTTTTGTTCGCACATTTTTCTGGATTTTTATTAATTTGCTGTGAAAATTTATTAAAAAATTCACTTGTTGTGTTATATTAGAACGAAATCATAAACCAGGTGTAAAATAATTAAGTTTTAATATATTTTTAATTATTCATAAAAGCCAGACACATTATAAATAAAAAATATATTTTTTAATTGTTTCTAGAATACCGAGCGTATACTAAACTGTAATAAATTGCGTATAAAAAATGTTTGATAAATATTAATATAAATATAAATTGTTTTATTTATATTAATTGTATTTTATAGGTATACGTATAGTCATATTAATCATATTTTCAATATTAACTCTTGTTTGTAGAAAATAGTAGAATCACATTTTTATTAAACACTTTTAAAATGAATAATTCTTAAATCGGAAATCTATATTCATGCTTCTCTAGTTTTAACAGATGGAATAAAAAAAATATTTATATAACATTTTCTATATATATGTATATATATATGTATATTTACACATATACATATGTATATTTGCAAATATTTTTTAATAACAGATAGAATTCTTAGAAGGCCACACCAAAAAAACTACATTTATTATTTTTTTTTTTGTATAACACATATGTATATATTTTATTATGAAAGAAATTAATAAAAATTTAAAGAAATATTTTGCTATAAACAATTAAATAATTAAAAATAAAACAATACAAAACAAAAAGTTGCCGACTAATGGTTCACATATTGGTACAAACATTCGTTGTTCTTTGTAAATCACAATAACAATTATTAAATTATAATTAAATAATAATTAAGAATTATTTATTTATTTAACATAACAAATATATTTAATTATTTTCGCTAAATACTCGAATGCATATGAACGTTTAAAAATTCATACATATCGCAGATAAATCGTTACTCAAATCATAAACTAAATTATTTTTTCTGTAAAAAGGTAAAAAAAAAAATAAAAAACTATATAATATTGTGGTGTATAAAAAAAACGTGGTGAGTATTATATTTGGGATTAAAATACTTTTAATTAACATATATGGACAACACAAACATTTAGGCAAAAACGGTGCTGTTATAAAATATTAAGAAAATAATATATAATTAATTTAAAAAAAAATTAAGTGTGTTGAAAAAAATATTATAAGCAGCTTGTGCAAAATTTCACTAAAAACGATGAAATACTTATGGAGAGCAAGGCTATTGTGCACCAAAAATTGAATATGTGTACAATATACTTAAAAAAATTTTTTTTAATGAGAAAAATAAAAAGTTAAAGCTGCATAAGAGTTCTAACTATAATTTTAAAAATATACAAATTAGCAAAATAATTATTATTAATTATTATAATTTTAAAGTATTGATGTTTTCTATATGGAAGAGAAATAATATCCTAATGTCGTTTTTGGACGTTCTTGTTGTTTTTAAGTAGTTTAAAATATTTTAAGATCTCAATTTATTAAAATGGACTACAAATTTATATGATTAACTACTTTATGAAATATTTTACTGATTTTACTGAACTGTTTAAATGTTATTAATTACTAATGAAAAAGACAACAAAAATCAAACTAGGGAAAAGTTGTGCTAAAAAAATTTTTCTTGTAAGCTTCTCAACAATATAGTTTCAATATCGAAAAACAAATTTATTTCTTGAATGTCTGTGAATGATTTAAAATTTTTTTTATCTACCAATTGTCGACAACTTTAATAAACAACAAAAAAAAAAAAACCAAAACCAACTTTTTTTTTGCTTCAAAATAAATATTAAAATAAGCAAATGGGAATTAAGTGCGTCGAAATATTAAATATATTAAATATTAAAGATATAAATATATTAAAAAAAAAAAAAATTATGCACAAAAACGTTGGAAAATGGAAGCAGTGAATATACAAATAATTTGTTTCACAGTACAAAATTACATTAAAAAAATTAATCTTACACCAAAACCCAAAATCCTGACATCGGAAAATGACTGCAAAAGTTAGAAATATGTACAGATTTTTATATATTTAGTTACTTCACAATAATGAGATTATTTAAAAAGCATGCATTATGTAATTAAAAAACATGAAAATAAATGATTTTTTTTTTAAATATGAAACTATTATAATTTTTTTTTTTTGACTCGGAAAAAATACAAAATATTTTTTTTTCAGATTTTTTTTTTTTTTACAATTTACTGCAGAATTTAATATTTTTTGCAGCAGAAATGATTTAACAAAAACTACACTTAAACAAACACCAAAACAAGTAATTCAAAATAAATATATATAATTACATATATATATATACAGAATAACATAAAAATAAATCTACCCATAAGAATTAAGTAAACTACTCACCCTAGATTTTTCCTTTGATTTGGGTGAAATGCGGAAACGACTGAACATACCATCGGTACTACCAGACGCAGTAGTGCTGCTGCCGCTAGTATTTGGACGCTCTGCCGGTGCAGAGTTGGTCGCACTAGCAGTAGTATTATTTTGTTCTTTCTTATCTTTATTATTGTGACTGGAGGAGGACGAAGAACTCTTATGGAAGAAACTAGACAACGATTGTATAAGACTTTTTCTTCGTTCTGGATCTTTTGGACGCCTACTTGATTTTGTTTTTGTGTTAGCTTGTGCACTCGTAGAGGAGAGCAATATATTTGGATCCGAAGTGAAATCTGCTGAATTCGCTACTGTTGCAGTTAAATGATCTTCTGTTCTGGCATTCTGTTGATGATTAGCTATAAAGACTAAATCATTCACACTTTTCGATGTACTCATCTTACGATCACGTGCACTTAGATCGTGTTCTACGTTTGCCTTTGGTTTTGTATGCATTTGATTGCCAGTTTTAGAGTCCGTTGAATTGCTTACACTGTCAGTTACAGCTGTTACCGAATTTTGCTTAACATTTAAGTGTTCCACTTGTAAACGTTTACGTAATAATTGCATTTTCTCTTCAGGACTCAAACCTAGCTCAGTGTTTGATTTTAGTCGAGCTCGAGCACGTGCTTCACTACGCAGATTTTCTGTTGATGTTGTTAATGGATTTTCAACAGTTGGTGTTGTGACTGCTGCATTGCGTCCACGATTTTGTCTAACCGGTGCAATTGGTATAGGATATTTAATATCTTCAGCTGTTGGGAGTTCTGTGGTGTTATGCTTATTGTTGCTGCTACTATATGTAAATGAAGGTGTTTTATTCAGCTTATACCGTTCTAAGGCATCTAATTTTTCTCCATGTATGTGCTCACTAATAGGTCTTTGTTTATAGGCATTTGATCGATTAGTAGTCATAATACCACCAGTGTTGTATGCCGAAACATATGTTGCTGAGGTTTGTATAGGAGTATTTTCTTTGAAGGCAGTGCTAGTCGCGGTAAGTATGCGCTGAGAGTTTGTGCGATTATCTGCATTACTTGCTGCCGTTGATACATGGTAATGCGCTTTGTTTGTGCAATTGTTGTCATCTGTCGATTTTGCTGCTTCTATTTTCGGTGTAGGACTTAAACTTGATCCGCTGCCATAGCCGCTTGTGAGCATATTGCGCTGACGACTGCGATGTAAACGTTTCTCAGCATTTAATTGTTTTTTCGACTGTAGTTTATCCATGACTAAGTCATGTATCAGGTCCTTTTGTTTAGTGCGTTCTTTGGTTATTTCCTCCAGCTTTCGTGTTAATGTTGGTATTTCAGGTACCCTGTTTACATGTGTTGTGCCGATTGCAGGTGTTGTCATTGTTGTAGTCTGAGAATCGTCTAAATTTTGCTGTAGTCTGTTTGGCGGTGTCGGTTCTATCACAGTTTGTTGCGAATTTTTAGAAATTGCTAGGACAGGTGCTTCACCTTTGGAACTTTTTCTTCGTTGTTTTCGAGACTCTAACGAATCTCTTGCTGTACTAATTTGTGTAATTTTTTGTTGTAGTGCACGCACATATTCATAGGAAAGCTCATCCGAAAGTTTACTTTGTGCATTTTTCACACCCGCAGCTGAACCATTACTGTGAACTAGTGCGGAGTTTTCTTGTGATGATTGGCGTGATGGCGTAGGTTTACTTGACATTGTGTTCGATGTGCTAGAGGGTGTGCAAGTTGATTGTGATGTCTTAGGTTGTTTTTCAGAACTGCTTGGTGTTGAACCTCCACCAGTTTCCGGACTCTTGCCTGCTATACGTTGCGCAGCTGTTGGTTCATGCATTTTTGGAGAAGAAGAATCAATAGGACTAGTAACGACAGTGAGTGCATCACTTTCCTCTGTTGTTGTTTTCGCTGTCACAGATGAAAGTTGTGCTTGAGAGTTAGGAGTAACTATACAAAGACTGTCATCGTCAAGATCATTCAATGTACTTGAGTCAGTTAAAGATTGTGTCATAATAGAAACAGATTGAGTTAATGCCTTATCATTTAATATTGTAGCTATTTGTTGCGATGGATGTTCATTAACTGGAGTCTTAAGCATATCTTGAGAGTTATCCTCAGTTTGCATTATATAAGCGCCTTGCTCAATGTAATCAATACCAAGCTTTTCATCACGTTTCGTTGTGATTGCGCCATATTTATCACTACTTAACTGTTGTGAATAACTGTTGAGTTTGTGACTTGGTGTTTGTTGCGGAGTAGTTTCAATAAATTCAATATACCCACGATTGCGTAAAAGTGCTGTGTTTGTAGCTGAATAAGCTTCCGCGCATGAACTCTCCGAACCTGTGTCCATGAATTCAATATCATCAATATCGATAGACTTGAGTATGCCCTCAAATTCAGCAACAGGTGCTGTTTTAGCTACTTCAAACATAACTTCACTTGTTGTTGGCAATTTAGTCGTATTTGATTTTCTTTTGCCTTTTTTGTTACGTTTAATTGTACCTTTATTTGAATTCAGCACGAATTCCATATCAATAAAGTTCTCAGATATGCAATCATCTGCTGTCCAATCAGACAACTCCGTTTCAGTTAGCGCATGGCCCGTACCAGTCGGTTCTGTTTCCGAATCGGAACCTTTTGATAACAAATCTGCCGTAGGAGTTTTATCATTATCTATTAAAGGAGAAGTAGGCGTACAGAGATTAGCAGTTGGTGTGGTGGGCGTTTTTTGACTTTTACTTAGGTTCAATGTAAGTGGTTTGATGACTTTCGTATGCTCTGCAAATTGCTCAACAACCAGAGGTAAATTTTTCAAACTTTCAACTTTATTTTCATTTTTGGTATCAAATTTTAGGTTTGCTGGTTTTATTTTGGGTGGTCCCTTTTCAGGTAATGGGGGACCTTGTTCTGGTAAAGGCGGTGCTTGTTCTTTTGCTTCTATAATAGTACACTCAGCTGGTTCAGGTGTAGCAGTAACAGGTTCTACATCTAGTTCTGCATCATCTTCCACAACGGTAGTTTTTACTGCAGGTATCTCTGGCACTATAATACTTTCACTGTTATTTGTGTATTTACAATTTAAACTGTCATCTTCATATTTATTATCAGCTAACATTAAATTATCAGTTTGCATAAGTGTTCCGGTTACATCATGAATTTCAACTCGTGGCACTTGATGACTACCAGTTTGCGTATCTGGACTAGTTGTAGATTCCAATATATAATGTTGAATATCTTCTAAGCTAGATGAGTTTGAAGTGCAACTAGAAGCAGTAGTGGAGGAGAGCAGATTTTTACGAGTATGCCAGGGTATAGTAGGTACTTCAATTTGTAAGGTATCGTTTTCATAGTGTTCCTCTTGTTTCTCTGGTGAATCTCGCTTTTCTTCATCGTCTGAATTATTCAGCAAATTTTGTTGATCTTCTGCAATTGCGTTGGAAATTCGCTTAAACTGTTTATCAGCGTTAACTTCGTGTTCTATGTGACCTAATAAATCGGGTATGTGTTCTTTTACATCTTTTGATATATCGGGTTTTGCATCTGCTATAATTATATTATCACATTTCTCTGGCGAACTAACGGTTAAATCAATAATTTTATTGGTGTCAGTGGCAGTGAGCACAGGGATAATATTTCCATTTTGTGAAACCGATTTAATATCAGCAAGTTCTTTATTAATCTTTTTGGGCGATTCAATTGCGGTTAAATCGATAATTGCTTTTATTTCTTTTTCTGGGGTAACCAAATCAATTGTTTCAATTATTGTTTGAGTATTAACTGTTGGTGTTGTTGGGGTTTTTTTGCTTATTGATTCAAGCAGTGTTGAGTTTATACTTTCTGAATACTCCATACCTTTGTTGAGCTCATTTTTGCTATTAACGTAAACATTTTCCTTTTCGTTGTCTGTAGAAGTGGTGGAAGAGGCTTTTTGTATAGTAATCGCTACACGAAGCTCATTCAAAATGTTACTAGTAGCTGAACGTAATATTTCATTTTTATTATTTTCTCCCAATTTTGTCCGGTCTAAAAATGTCTTCATACTTGGACTTACATCACTGCTAGGATTTAGTAGTTTTTGGCATTCCGATATATTTGATTGAAAACTACGTATTTTTGAATCTAGTACTGAGGTCGAACCTGACTTTTGTATTTTATTACCACTTACTGCCTCGCCAAGTAAATAACGCTTCTTTAGTTCTAAGCTCTTTTTGGATGCAATACCTTCAGTACTGGCAGTTTTATTAAGTAAATAATCACCTGGACGGGGGTTTTGTAATGGTGCACGATTACTATTTAGAAGTGTTGGATCTACTTGAACTAGGGGCTTAAATTGTGGCTGTGGCGGTTGATGTTGTGTTTGATATTTTGCTAAATAGCTACCTTCTCTTATATTGTGTTTATTGCTTGTTGAAGTAGTTATTACAGCTGATTTTATCTTAAATTAATGAATTTATATTTATAAATTTATTTATGAGATTAATGTATATGCACTTACCTTCACTTTTGTTGGTTTTTTTATGTGTGTATCATCTATAAGAATTTTTGGTGCTTCTCGAATAACTTCATCGTTTTCAAACTCTGAGTCTGTGGATATTTCAGTAGCAGAATTGAGTTCAGCTTCATTGGGTGATGTTGTGTCTGACTCCGTTTGAACCTATAAAGTAATATTTAAACATTTATTAATTTTTTTTCTTATTTAATTATTTCAAAATAAAATGCAATTGCATTAAATGTTGATGAAAGCAAACGAAAACAAAACAAAACATTTTATTTCTTCGAACATAATTCTTTTAAAAGGCAAAAAATACATGCAGAATGTAAAGTAAAAAATTTTTAGTTTGAACGATATCCTTTGAGGTACGATCCAAAAAGGCTTCATAATTTTTATGTTAATAGAACGAATGAACGAATAAAATATTTAACAGGACGTGTCACGTAGCAGTTTAAATATTAGAAAGGCTCAACATAAAAAACGTTATTTTGTTTGGCTCATATCAATAATTTGTGTTAATACCTTCATATATATTAGCGCATTATTATTATTATTTTATTTTAGCTATAAAACAGTTTACTTTTCAATACTGTAGAACTGATACAATTTTTGGAGCAAAAAAGAGAAAAATTAATTCATATTTATGGAATTCATAGAGATCTTCATATATCTTTTCGATAGTAATCCACTAGTTCTTCAACATGTGAACGTATTATGAGCACTTCGAGCTAGATCAAATGAATCGAAAGCTATATATTCGAAAACGGTCAAGCAATTTAAAGTTATGTTGATTTTTCAAAGATTTTCGAACTTTTCGAAAATGTTCGAAGTATTGAAAAATGTTCGAACCGTTGATATTGTTCGAAATGTGCAAAGATGGTCGAATTGCATGAACAAATAATTTGCTGTATGTTTAATATAATTTTCGTTTTGCTTTATACATACATATATGTGTAACAGCAAATGGTCGAACACAATATAGTATTCGAATATTTTCGAATTTCTCGTTGTGCTCGAATACTCGAAACATCAAAATGCTAGAAGCTTTAATGTTAGAATAATGCTTGAATCTTAATAATATACTTTATTCAGTATATAGAAAACATACTATATATAAAAAACATATATATAGAAAACATATATAGGCTAAATATTATAGAGGATTTCAAGAAACAATTCCTATATTCAAATTATTTTATGCAATTAATCCATCGAGATTATATTCTTTAATTTATTAATAAAAAAAAATATTTTTAGGTATTGTACAGAAAAATATGCTATTAGAAATCTATCAAGATAATCAAGTGAAAACTTTAAGAGAACTTAATGTAACATAAGACAGACAGATATCTATCTAGTAACAATTGTTTGTACTCTGGATCTAGTGAAATGTTATGGTATAAAATAATATTTACATAATTCTAAAAAGTCTTCACATTAAAGCTTATAGAAAGATATCTGAAAAACAGTTCTACCGTATTGAAGATATTTTAGTAGCACGATTTCCGGAACAAATTTAATTTATCTTTTACCTTAAGAGATCGTACCCAGTTGAAAATCTAACTCTTCTCTTTTGGACTGAATATAATTGTTGGTATATCACTCTCTCACACTTTTAAGCATTCAGAGATCATCTATGATACTCATAATGTCGTTTGAAGTTAAAATAAGACAATATGCATTTAATACAAAATTTTAATATATAATGTCGAGTAGTTTGCATTAATTTACGATTCATCGGTTATTACATTTTACGTAGTTTATTTTTTAAAAATGTCATTGGTTGGCAAAGGCGAACGTTTGGAGGTTGTTGAGTAGATTGAGGTTTATATAATTAATTTTATTATTTTAACCGTTGTATTTGGCAAATATATATAGTTATATTTAATATTTATAGTATGTTGGATTAGATTTTATTTAAGAATGTTATAATAGATATATAAGCTTAATATAGATGATAGTTGAAGCGATGTCGTCTGTGGATCCAGTAAATTATAGTTTGTTGTTGGATAGCATTGTGGAAGCGTTGATTTAGGTTGGATAGTTCATATATATAAGTTCAAATGTATTTGTATATAAAAAAGAAGTATAAAGAAAATTAAAAAATGTTAGATAAATTTGTATAATAAAATTGTCATTTATGATATAACGCACGACTCTTTGGAGTGTTCTCGTTCCTTGTGCTGCGATGGACTTCGTTTAAAATAATCAAATAAATGGGATCCGCGTCCTGTTGTACTATTGTAGGCTGTTGATGAAGTTGTAGGTGGCGCTGTTATACCATATGGATAATAACTTGTTCTGGCTGAAGATGGTAAAACGTTTAAACGTCGATTACTACCAGTACTGTTGTAATCGGTATGAGTTGGTGCTGTGCTTATGTAATCAAAATGTTGGCCTGTACTATGGCGGCCGATGGAACGTGAGGTTGGAAATTTAGGTTTTGTTGTTCTTGTATAATTTCTAGGACGATAAGATTGTAGTTCATCATCATCTGTCACATAAGATGGACGTCGCTGTTCAGCAATTCTTTCCTCTTTAAGCACGTCTCTCATATAAGGATTACGTTCTACAACACGATCATTTACGAAATCGCGTTTCATATTGTGTAAACGTTTACTGCGATCTAAAAGCATGCGAGTATTAACATCAATTTCGGTTTCAATTGGTTTTATATTGCGTGCAGGTTTCTCTGGTGTGGGTGTTTTTGAATATAATAATTCTGTCGATCTATTATATGGATATAAATTGAAATCATTATTTATACCGGAATCTGTTATAGATACACCTTTATTTAACGATTGTGTGGAATGGCAAATTGAATTTTTATCTAAAAATTCATCGCTTTTTTCATAACTATCAGCTTTGATGAAATGTGTCTGCTGATGGTTATTTGTTTCCTTACTACTTGACTCTGGTTCAGTGCTTAAAGTGCGCTCATTACATATGCTTTCGCTATTTAAGGAATGATTTACATGGGTTACCGGATCTATTTTTTCTTGCACCTTATTATCAGCGGCGGACGAATTAAGTTCAAATTCCGTTTTATTCATATTTAAACACTTTGTCATAGGAATATCGTTACTTCCTGTTAATTCTATAAATGCAGAAGAATTACGCCTTGAAATCTCAGGACTATTGCTTTTCTCCTTAGAAGCCTTGATACTTTGAGTATATTGTTGATTTTTTACTAAGTCTAGATTTGTAATTACTTCATTCTTTTTATCCGCAACAGTTGAATTCTGTTGAGTAACATTATTAATTTTTTTATTTTGTAGTTCTTGATATTCTTTATCACGTTTTATAAGTGCCTGACGGCGTTCCAATTCTAATTGTTCAACAATATCAGGTTCTGAATTTTTTTTAATTTTATTATTATCATTATTAATTTTATTAGTATCATTACTAAAAGCATTATTTAAATTTTCATTATTAAGTAATAATATTGGACCTCTTCTATCTGGTAGTATAAACTTTCTACGAGGCATTGGACTTATCGGCATTTTTTCCATATCCCACTCTAATGACTTTTCTTTACTATATGATTTGGGTATTAATTTATTATTACTGAAAGTTTCTATATTAGTACCCGAATTTAGTTCGTCTTTTAAAGGTTCCATGATTTGAATAGTCGAAGCATTAGTAACTCTTTCAATAAGTCTTTGGTTGTCCTTAATTTCATAATTATTAATAACTGTAGACGGATCTTGCTTCTCTGATACAATACAAGTGTTTAAATTAATTGGGACTTCTTTTTTATCAATAGATTCTTCATCAATATGTTCAATGTCGCTCATATTCAAAATTTTTTCAGTATTGTTTCTATCAGCTGCTTTAATTCTGTTGACAAATGAAGTTGCATTTATACTGTTCCCCTCTAACTCTTCAGGTTTATTATGTGTACCAGACAAAGTACCAATTAATGGGGTGCTAACAATATTATTATTATTCGGTTGTTCAGTTTTATCAGATTTGTTAACTGATATATTATTAATATTATCAGTAACTAATCGAGCGGCTTCTATACTATTTACTTTTATTTCTTCAGATTTATCAAGAGTATCAGATAATTTGCACTTGTTAATTAATGGTGTACTATTAACAGTATGCTCTTCTAATTGTTTGTAGGTTGATTTAGCTCGTTTAGTTAATGGGGTTGAAGAGGTTTCAGAAGCATTATCTTTTATTTGCTGATATTCATTGGGAATACTAGTCGACTTATCTCTATTAATTAAAGAAGTGCCTTCTTCCAAACTAATTTTCATATGATCGGATTTCTGCGAATCAATATTGTCATCAGTTTTATGTTGAGAATCACTTCGATTTTGAGAATTGCGCAAACTTTTATCTGTATCATCAGTTGAATTTTCTTCTTCATCAAGTAGACGTGGAAATTTAACTTGTTTAGCTCTTCTAGGTGGTTGGGGTGACATTTCTTCTACCTTTTGATCTTTGGCATGTAATTCTTGCAACAGATCTTGTACTGAAGATGGCATATCATTAGGACAGAGTTTTGCTAATTTTTTTTTCATACGCTGTGGTACAAGCGGAATAGAAGTTTCACTAGAAGATGAAGTACTCTTTTGTCGACGCTGAGGTCGCATTGGAAACAGTGGCTCTAAAGTAGCCAAATATTGTTTTGTACTGTTATTAATTGGTTCAGTTTTAGTTTCAATGGCAATGACAGGTTCATGCAATTTTTCAATTTGCCCACTATCAGATGTTATTGTATTTTGATTAGTTTCATCTATATCTAATTTTACACTTGGAGTGATTTCAATCAATTCATCATTTGAATCGAACTCTACGTTAACTAACATATCATCAGTAAACTCGCAAAATAGTTGTTCAATGCTGTCATCTTCTGAAGATCCCCGTAATTGAACTGTTATGGGTGCTGCACTTGGGCTTTTACTAATTGTTGTGCTTAAAGAGTCGCATTCGTCTAAGAAAATATCAGGTATACTTTCAAATTTAGAATTACCGTCTTCAATTTTCATATCGTCTATCATATTTTGAAATAATTCATCAACATCATTATCAGTGTGTGACAAATTTGATAACTCTACTACAGCCATACACAGTTTTTCATCAAGTGATTTATCTGATAATCGATTAGATTTTAAACTAGCCTGCGACCCACGGCGGGAGTTACTTAATGATTTATCACAACCAGTTTTAGGCAAATATTTAATATCCATTACAGGTGCATGCTTCGTTTCTAGAGGTTTGAAAGTATCTGATGCACATGAACTACGTCGAGATGAGTTAAAAGATGTAATAGTTATATTGGACAAATCTTCAACAGAATTCTTTTGGGATTCAATAATATTATTACACGAAATATTTGCTAAATTTGTTTCAGTTAAAATGTTTAGGTTACTTTCATGAGGCTCCGCTTTCGGTGATTTATTAATGTCATCACAAATTTTAGCCAGTTCATCCGTAGAGTTATAAATTACTGCAGGGGCCTTTGGAGCCAGCATAGCAGAACTTTCCATTTTTTCATTATTTATAACAGAAGTTTTTGTTAAAACCTTTTTGGTGTTTTTTGGTTTGTTATTTGATATATAATCGCCATTCGAAATTATAGTTTTATTTTCAAGTTCTTTTTTATTTGGGATAACATTTATATTCTTTTGTACTTTCTCCTGTGAGTCTTTATTTGATTTATTATCTGCAGTAATATTGATTAATTTGTCATTTTTGAGTTTAGGTGATCTTGACTTCTTAATGGTTGTGTTTTTTTCTGGAGATTTGTTTTTCACTGGAGATTTTCGTTTCAAGTTAGGTTTTTCAATAATTCCAAAAAATTTTGCTAATTTAGACTCACGATATTGTACTGGTATATGTTCATATCTCTTTTTTTCTTCTAATTCAGCTTTAGCTTGTAACTCTTCTTCTTGCTTTTCAGCATAAAATTTATCACGTTTTTTTTGCAAAAAACGCGTAGCTTCATTACGCCATTCTGATTTTAAGTATTCCATTGTTCGATCTAAGTCACTAAATGAATCAGAATCACGAGATATTATAGAATCACGAGATATAATAGAATCACGAGATACTAAGGAGTCTCGTGATTTATTTAGGTTACTCGTACTGGAATCCATGCGTCGAAGTTTATAACCTTGCTCATCATTAGATTTTACCGAACTCATCGATTCGAAGCGTTTTAATAAATTCTGTACACCACTTGGTCTGTCACCATCTTCTTTTGTTTTGGAATTTGTATTGGTAGAAAAATTAGAGGTTTTTTCAAATTCACTTTCACCAAGAGATTTTGTTTTTAAAAGCTTTTTTCGATTATTGTTAGTTTGTTTTTTAATACCGAGATCAATTCCAGTTTCCTCTAATATACGCTCAATTTTATCTGATATATCTTCACTGGGTGATTTTTCTTCTTTAAATAAATGCTGATACTCCCAACTTGGTGAACGCATATGTTCACTCTCTGCTGTAAGAATTTCATCTAAAATTAGATCAGACTCATCTCGTGGAATGATAGATTTATTGTTTAGAGCTTTTTCTTGTTGCTTTATGCTATTGTTCTCTATAGATTTTTTACTTTTGGTACCCTTAGGTACAATTTTCTTTATAATTTTTACGTTACCCTTCTTAGTTGTGGTTGCTGTAGTATTGGTTGAAGATACCTTGACTGGATTTTTTTTCATCGTAATATCAACAGCACCATCTAGCTGATGATCGTGTAAGCTAAATTCTGCTTTCCCTGCCGATGCTTGACGTTTTAATGTCATTTTATTTGTATTTAAACTATTGTTACTTGTTGTAGTGTTTGAAGCTAAGGATTTTTCAGTTTGGGATCTCTTTAGTTTATCTGCTACAGTTTCGACGGCACTTCGTCTTTGTGCTACAGGACTTACAGGAAAATATTTGGTCAAATCAACATCTTTAAGAGTTTTTTGATTTTTATTAACGCCCGATGAAGTTGATTTTTCTTGTTTTTGGTTCGGAAAATATTTCGATAGGTCTATATTACTAGTTGCCTGTGCACTAACTGTTGGCATTTCTAATTGTGCCTTTATATTATCCATAGTACCGGCAAAATTTTGTGCTTCAATTTCTTTAAGTTTATGTGACATACGTTTACTTGGAATTGGAGAAAATTTATTTTCTGCATCATACAACATTTTCCCAACATCTTTGTCAGCTCCAGTGTATACTTTCTTATCATCCTTTGTAATTTCTTTATTACTACTACTGGAGATGTCTATTTTTTTTACAGTGTCTAAAATTTTTTCAATTTTCATTTCATCAGAGTTTAAAAGCGGTTTACTGTCTGACTTAGCTTTCTTTAGACTATTATTTCTGCTTAGATTTTCACTTTTTCTTGCCATTTGTGGACTTGTAGAAGCATTGCTTTTAAAACTATTTGAACGACTTACATTAGCGCTTTGTTTTTTTATAGTATTAGGACTAGAATGTGGACTTAATTTTAATTTTGTACCACTATTTTTACGACTAGGAGTTTGTGATTTCGGTTGATATTCGGTTTTTATATCATTAACTGAAACGTTTTGTTCTTGCTTTGAATCAGGTACTACGCTCAGTATATCATTTTTTGATTCCTGCTTTATATTTTCAGTTGTAATTTGAGGAGGTTGTTCTGTAACTTTAACATTTGATTTCTCCATTACTTTCTGATATTTTTCATCGAATTTCGATTTGGGCGCCAAAGCATTTGAGTTGCTTGCATTTTCGGCTAACCATTTCTCTTTGAGTGTAAGTTTCTTAAGTATATCGCTTTTAACTAAATTCTCTTTCGCTAAACTTTCAAGATCCTTATTCATTTTCATCACGTTATTAAGTCGATATAATTTTTCACTTATCGCCTCAATTTCAGCACTAAATTTACGTTCCGAATTTTGCTCCAATTTTTCAATATCTGTTTTAGTAGTAATTGTAGTCGCAGATTTTGGTGCGTTTTCGGGTACAATTATAATTTGATCGGCATTAACAACACTAGTAGATGATGCAGCCGATTTAAAAGATTTATCAGAGTCAGATTTTTGAAGTAGTGAATGTATTGAGGGTTTTCGCACGTTACTTTCTTGTATTTGATTATCAATAGATTTTCTTTTTTCATTTTCTTTAGTTGTTACATCAATATTTTCTTTGTTCTCATTTTTAGACTAAATATTTTTATGATTTTTAATTAATGAATATTAAAAATTTAATAACCAACACCATTAAAATGCAAAGTAAATGGGAATATTTGTATTTGTTGGCAAAAAAAATTATAAAATAAAGAAGGAAAAATATTTTAAAATTAATTTCTGTTTTAAATATGTTAAATTTCATTTAAACTCACCTCAGTTTCAGTATCTGTTGGCAAATTTGCAGGCAGTGGTAATAAGCGTACTTCTTCTCGACGGAGTTCACGAGCCTTTTTGAATTCTTCTCCTTCCGTATCATCATTATCTGAAAACATTAATATTCAAATTTGATTTTAATAAAAGCTATATGCTATTACTAGTATTATTGTACAATATATATTGTATCATTTATAACATTAATATACAAAATTAGTAAAAAAAATTGTTTTAAATCTACAGTTGAGCAAAATAAATTTGATCATTACCAACCAGAGTTCCTATTTGCGTACCCATGAGCGGCTCCTTTCGGCTCATTCTACTCAGAGCTCATGAGCAGGCAAGAAACTCTTTTCATGCGATGGCTCACGCTCAAGAGCGAGCCCACTTGCAGAGGTCATGCTCGTGAGAATGAGCCGATTTTGGACTCACGCTCATAAGCCAATTTTAGGCTCACGTAATAATTATCTCTTATTCATGAGCCTGAGCTGCTCATGAGTGAGCAAATATGAACTTTGTTACCAACAATTGATTTTTGTTTTTATTCATTCGGTAACCATAATTTATTTTACTTCCGTCTTTAAAAAGATGATTAAATTTAATGGCTATGACAGTACTGATCTTTAAGACAGATTAACGTATATCAAAAGACATCACTATTTCCGAAGTGGGGTATGGTATGGTTGCTGAAGTCTGTTTTAAATGTTTGATTAAGATTTTATTTTGTTATAAAAAATGAGCCCAGCCCATAGAGAATAAAATAATAATTTATTCACACATTTAAAACTGGCTTTTACTTCAATGTCTACGTCTATAAATCATTGATATAGAGTATGATATATGTTACATTTTATGTCACATAATAGAAATTCTAATTACTTTAAGTAGAGGTACTTTAAAGTCTATATGCCATATATAAACAGGTATTGTCAGGTGTCATTCTAAATGAATTCATCTATAACATATTTCACAAGTCATTTATATCCTGTCGGAGAATTTAATTTTAACTGAGAAATTCAATTGAGAAATAATTTCAACTGAAATATTAAAAATTGTTACATTTTTTTCTTCATACTCACCAGGTAAACCATCACTTGAATAATCAAATTCAACATCATCACTGTCTGTATAGTTTTGTTTGCCAATCCAGTCTGTTGCTAACTGTAAAGTTTGTGCACCTAAAGGTGAATCATTTGCCTCTTCAAACATATCTGAATCACTTTCGGTATCAGATTCATCTGAACTTGATAGATCTGATTCAGAGTCATTATTTGATTCTGGCAAAAAGTTGCGACCAGACCACTCATGCTCATCTATAATATGTTCTTCAGATGGTTCACCATCAGACATGGCATCTGTATTTTCAAACTCTATACGTTCAGGTGTTTGTCCACGATCTAGTAAATCTATTTGAGCTACATTATCAGTATGACTACGTAACTTATCAACTGGCTTACGATCAAGATTAGCATTACTCGCGACTTCTATAACCGTTGTAGCTGCAGCTGCTGCAGCTTGTTGTTGTTGCGTTGGTTTCTAAGTAAAAAAAATTAAAATATGTTTTCATAACCAAATAGAAATATCAGCACATAACATATGTGAATATCTTACTCTTTGCCCAGGTTTTCTAACCATTGGACGTATTGCTTTTGCTGGCAGTCTGAAATGTTGTGTACAATAAAATCTTCCATTAGGATCATCACGATCGAATGCATATGCATTTAAACGTAAATTAGTGTGACAGTGATGGCATTTGAGGCACGATCGATGTAATATTAAACCTTCGGCAGTTACTTTTTCCATAAGGTAAACAATTTGTTTGCAGAAATGACATTTTTCGGCTGCTGCTTGCTTTTTGAAAGCTAAAGCAACTTTGGAACTCTAAATAAAAAAATTATTCCATTAATCCAATATACACCATACTACATATGAAAATATATTTACAAACTCTGAAAAAATTAGTATGTGGATTTGATTTTATACAGCGTATTTTGCAGTGATTACAAAGTAAATTTTTATGTATAGATAGATGTTAAGAATAGTGTAAGTTTTTAATGACGAAATATAAATGCAATTCTTATCTTTATACAAACGCTTCAGTTTGCTAACAGAACCAGACAATATATGACAATATATAAAACAGTTAAAAAGCAATTGTATTGTATCTTAGCTAATATATTGGTTTTGACAAAACTCAGCACTTCAAAAATTTTATAAAGCTTAAATCCAAACCAAAAAATAAAAAATAAATATTGGGAAATAAATTTACAAAATTATAAAATTCACTTAAATGAAAAAAACAAAAACACTAGAAATAAAATTAAACAAAAGCACTAAACAAATTACTCACAGATTTCTGTACTACAGTGGGGGGATTTTTTTCATCAGATATATCATCCTTTTTAACAAATTGGCCAGCTATAGATGCAACTTTATTTCGACCACGTTCACCAACTTCAAGAATCGAACCTTCTTTTAATTGTTTATCTAGATTTTTTAAGGTTTGATCAATTTCTTTAAACTTCTCCTCATTAGAATCCATACGCATAGGTTTAGACATTTTGTTTTGGCGTGCTTTAAACTGTTCTTTACTCCATTTGGGAACCTTTTCGCGCCCTTTCGGACCGTGTATTTCAGTTTTTTTAGATTGTTCTATTTTTTTCTCAATCTCACGTACATTCCAATCGTTACTATCAATTTTACCAATGGCACGCATTAAGTCTTTGGGTTTTTTATCTGTACCATAAGTGTTACGAGAGGTGATGCGTTGCTCCATGGACTTGATGCGATCACTAAATTGCTCATCGGCATTACTACGTGGTAGAGCAGAGGGTATGTCACCGCGATCACGATCCTATGGGTTTTTTTAAGACAAAAATGTGTGTTTTTGTGTGGGAAGGTATTTTAATATCACAAAGAGGTAATGAAATATAAGGGAAGAGTAGAAAAGAAAGAAAAAATATAAAAATGTAATATTTGAAATTTATCTTGGAATAACTCAGATAATTCTAAATTAATGGGTTACTTAAAAACAACTTAACAGCAAAAATTTAAGCACAAAAGGTTATAATATTTAATACAAAATTAAAACAAAAAAATAAATATTAAACTTTTTTGATTATTATATGAGTAAATAACAGAATTAAAAGAATATTTTTAATATTTAAATAATATTGTAAACTTTTACTGGATTATCTAAAATTTATTTATTTAAAGCATGTGGTCAAAACATGGAGTAGAACTGTTTTTACGGTTCAAAAATTTATAGCTAACGAAAATGAAACTAATATTAAGTCATATATAATGACTTAATAATATTAAGTCATATATATTTGAAAACAAAAATAAGACAAAGTATTTTTATATTAATAAAAAAAACGAATATATATGACTTTTATTATTACCAGATTTGATTTAATATATAAATATATTAAAATCGCATTCAAATATAGCAATTTTAGTAGATTATCTTTTACTTTTAGCTTTTATTTAAGCAGCCACAAACAACATCTAAAGTATGTTGCATCTTGTTAAAAGAACAGTTTTGAAATATGTCTTACAGATACATATTTAAAAAATTTGCAATAATTTGTTAGTTGATTATTAAAATTTGCGCAGTCCATTGTCTTGTTAGCAGGCAATTTGTTATTTTTGAACACATTTAATCGAACGAGCAAACAACGAATAACAAGCATAACGCTTACAGGATATAACAGCTTGCGTTCCAATTCTTTAACACGATCATTAAACTCAGGAGCTTGTTGCCTATAGAGAAAAATCGAATAATCCTCGAAAGGTGAATTTTCATCACTTTCACGTAATAGAGTATTCGCTTGCAACATATGCAAGCTTTTATAAAAGTTTTGGGTTTGTTGGTAACGTTGCTGTCGACGCTTGCTCAAACGATCTTGACGGTTTTGTTCGATTTCTTGTAGACGCTTTTGACGATCTTCCTATTATTTTTGAATGTTATGTTTATGTGGTGATAGTTATGTATTTGTATAAAAATTGTTTTGGGTTAATATTCAAATCATTCATTAGAAATAATACTTTAATTAATTATGCTTTACTATAAAATTATTTCTATATAATATATATTTATGATATTAGTAAAAAATCTTGATTCTTTCGTTAGATACGCAAGACATAAAAAATACCTCATATAATGTATAAGTGCAGTCATTTTTCAAAATGCATGAATGTGGATTCAGTAGGTGAATATTTATCATGAAATGAGCCTTATATTTTAAAAATATATTCCATTATTTAATGTAAAAATATATATATAACTTGCAAAAAAAATTTAATTAATTTGAAAAGTGATCAATTCACAATTTAAATCAAATAATCAACAATAAAATTTATATTAGGAAACAATAATACAATAATCGATACATAAAAATATTTATATTCATATATATATAATAATTATTATATTTATTATGATAATTGTTAAAATAAAATATATCAGAAGTCTATGAACTCGAAACTATAAAATTAAAAACAATATTAGGCCTTTTCTTTTGTAAGCATATTACAAAAAAACAAATGCTTATTTTAAAAATAACATATGAAACAACAACACTGCTGGCTTATTTAGTCCAACCTTTTTGAAATCGCTTAACTAATAAGCAACTTAAATCACATGGTTAATGTGACTAAAAAATTCGTCTATTGTGAAATTTCCAATTATCTATCAACGAATGATTCCGTTAAATATTCGTATTTCGTGTCGTCATTGTTCGTAACAAATATGTTATTATTGCTAAGTATAATTATACTGTTAAAAGCCACGAAAAATTATATTTTATTCATAATCATGTAAAAAAAATTATTGTCATCAATAATTGCAAAGAATTATTATTCATTTTCAAAATTTAAACTTTTAATTTTATTACGTGTTTCGCACATATAAGCCTAATAAAATCTCCAGACTTACAATCGAATCTTCAGAGTTGTCCAGAGTTGCAATCGAAAGTAGTGCTTATTTTATTTGTTATTTTGCAACATGATTACAAAAGAAAAGGCCTATTATAAAAATAAACTTTAAATGTCATTTTTTAAACATAAACATTTAAGAAATGACTTAATAAATTTATTATATGCTTTATTCCCAATAGTATGAATGGTAGAGCTGCAAAAATATTAAAAAAAAAATCGGACTATATATACTATATAGTTGAAATATTGGAAACAAAATGTAGTATTTAAAAATAGTTTAAAAAAAAATGTATATTATTTGAACAATTGACAATTGATAGAAATATAAATATATATTAAAAATTCCGGTAACCTAAAACTAAATAAAAAAATAAAAAGATTTTCACTTGATTCAAATTTAATTTTAATAAAAAAAATTTAAAACTAAAAAATATATATATACAATTTAAAAATGCAAAACTTCAAGATAAAATTATTCATTATAAAAATAAAAAAAAATTTTAAATAAAATAATAAAAAAATTAAAATCAATACACTACGATATCGCAACAAAAAAAAATTTTTTAATTAAACTAAAATAAATATATTCTAAATAATACAAAAACGAAAAATTTTAATTAAATAATAAAAATATGAGAGCATACTTAATAACTAATATTTTGAATATAGTTTCAAATCAATTTACTTTCCAAAATAAAAAAATAAATTAAACAATGGTATTAATATTCCAAAAAAAAAAAACAAAATAAAAGCAATATAAATATTCTTAAGACAAAAATATTTTCAAATAAATTATTTATAATACAAATCAAAATACGTAATAATTATGAATAGTTTTTTATCTTAATTCTTATTTATATAATTCTTTATTTATATAATATACTATAAAAATAAACATGTGTTCATAATTCATCTTTAATAAAATAATATAACTTTTAATTGATTAAGTAGATAATTTTATATAATTAAATTTTAATTCATAAAATAAAATAAATATATAATATTTTTATACTATCATTAAGAAATATAAAAATTAAATTTTTTAATCGTTGCTACTTAGACGTAAGAGGCGAGTTATAAATGGAAAAAAAAAATTTTATTGTATGAATGACTTAAAAAATATATATTCATAAAAATATGTAAGCATTTAATAAAAATAATTAATGTTATTGTTCAGTTTGAATTGGATCACTTTTCATTTTTTAAAAAAAAAATTATTTATTGCATCCTTGATACATCCAAAAATGCTACTCACAATATTAGTTGCTTTCTCAGCGCTTCTTCTCTTTTTCGCGCGACGTGGTGTATCAGTATGTGCTAGATAAAGATAAAAAATTAATTATTTTATATGGAACTAATAAATGGAAATTTAAAAGGTATTATAAAGAGTCAATAAAACCAATCATTTTCGGTCAAATAATCATGCAAATAACTTGATCTATAATAATCCTTAAAAGAATAAGTGTGGTTAATAAATTTAATTACATACAAGTTTTCAGAAAATAAAAATTAATACTTAATTTAAAATTTTTTATATATATTATCGAAATTTATATTATATATTTTTCAAGATATTTTTAATATATATCCATACTACTAGCCATTAATAATATAATATAAATTTATATTATAATATAATATTCAAAGCATTAGCTATTAAAACAATCAGCTTAAAAGCAAATATAATTGTCTTAAATATATAAAAAATACAAAATTTTTTTACTTAAAAAAAGTTTTTGTTTAATATAATATATATTTTTATTTTATATATTTACTATTTTATATATTTACATATACTACTTTTGTGCATGTATACAAGCTATTAAAACTAGCACCATAAAACAAAAATTCACAGTTATTCTGTAACTTGTATCAAAAAAACAGCTATCTAATAAGGTGATCTAAACAAATGTGTCAAGAAAATATATAACTTATTAAATATAATATATTAGTTATATAAAATATTATATATAATATAATATATTATATATAATAATATAATGTATTAATTAATATAATATATTATATATAATATGTATATCTTATATATATATTAATATTATATACTATAAGAACGCAGTTATTACTTCTATATGAACCAAAGTATTGGGTTTTATTTGAGTTCGTGTTCAAAAATTTAAAGTGTTAATTTTATAATAGCATGCATTAATATCTAAATTAGCTTCAATAGCATAAACAAAAATTAATATTTACTTCGCTAAGAAATTCGTAAAAATAATATAACTATTTAAGATGTGGTATTTATATATGCTTGTGAGAATAACTAACTATTTCACTATACTTTATATTGAAAATATATAAAGCTATTTTAAGTCATTATTCTTATTATACTATTATATGTCGTATAAGAAGAGTAAAAGCAATATAAGTTTTTTTCCTTCTAAGCTTGTATATATATTGCATTAATAGTTAATTTATTGTTTCGTTTACAAAAATAAAAATAGCATATGTCCTATATATGCTGTTAGGGGAATGTTTATTCAAATAATAGTGGTTTTTTTTATTTTAATTCTTAAAAAATTTACAATTACAAATATATTATTAACTTTACTATATAATGTGCGAAAATTTTATTTCAAATATAAATTATAAATAAATAAACTGAAAAACAGTAATAAGATTGATTTTATTAACATCCTTATAAATATGGCTAAGTCTTCGTATAATTCAGTAGTACCTTGTTGTACACTACCAGCAGCGGCTAATTCGACGTTTTCACCATCAGCATTCAATTCGTGCTTACGCAAACGCTTCAGTCTTTCTTCATCCAAAATAGATCGTTTTTGACCTACATTTTGAGCATCAATAAGCTTTGTTTTTTGTTTTGAGGAAATTTGTAATAGATTTGAGAAATCTGGTTCAGCGCGGCCATGATGTACACGATATTTTTCACGTAGTTCTGGGAAGTCCATTTTAGGATGTTTAACATGTGGTATTTCACCACGAAAAACATCATAAATTTGTTCTAAATAATTTAGCCACACTTTCGACTGAGTTGCATTTAATTGCACTGACTCCTCACCGGACATTATACGAGGTATATGAAGTTCTCTGTCCAATATTTGAAATGCAATCTCATTGCATTCAACTGGACTTAAGTCTTTAACAGCGTTAAAATCTATTAAGTCTGGTCGATAACTACAATTATTATGTATAGAAATTATTTATATGATATTAAATAATGCTATTCTTTATTAATTTTAATATATACCGATTAATTAGAGCACAAAGAACTTTCCCATTGGTGAATACATCAGATACTTGTTTTAGACTATTCACAAAATCATGCTTATGTAATTGTGCGCTTATCCAACAAAGTAGTACTGTACCAAATGGAAGCGTGTCTATTAATATATAAAAAATGAAAGATAGAACATTTAAAACCAAGTTATTAATTAAATTTAGTTATTACCACCACTACGTCGCTTTCTGCGTACTGGTGAATCTACTTGTGTTGGTTGCAAAGCATTGGTATCCATAAATGTTTGTTCCAATATCGATGGGTCATCAGTGTCTATAAGATGCTTTACTTGCCATACATTAACTGAGGTACGATTTAAGTTTGGGTATCGTGTTGCTGGATCCACAGTATATGAGCCCGTATCTCGCTGTAGGTTCTCAGGTGTTGTTTGATTCAATAATCTAAATAAGACAAAATATATTATTTGTGTGTTTCGTTAAAAAGTCCGTTTTATCAAACCTATATATACTTTCTCGTTGTGCTAATACGCCTAAGGTACTATTATGTGAATTGCTCCATAATTTAATTGCATATGCTGCATCCATACTTGACAAAAAACCACGTGCACAGCCTGAACCAGTGGGCCAAAATGGTTCTAGTAAACTATCTCCCACAAGACACTGCAACAGTCGAAAACCTTTACGTACAATAACTTTACAAGAGGTTTCAGCTGCAAACATTGATGTAAAATCAAACATGGCAACATCTGGTTTTCCGTAGTGATTTACGGCAAATTCTAAATTTGTCATCTGATATTTTGTGGAAAATTCAGCAGCTTCTCGAGCATAATCTAGCAATTTTTCACTATTTACATTATTAATTGCTAGTAGTTCTGCTGGATCTGCAAAATCCTGAAATACACCAAAATAAATGTTATCACAATATATTTTTAGTTTATTTCGATTTTATTTTTACCTGTATTATAACTCCCTTATCGATTAGACTATGCTTTTTCGCTGTCATTACAAAGTAATGAGTTTCATCTTTATAGTAAACTATATTCTCTAAATCTATATAAGTCTTTTCGTAGAGCTCTTTGAAAAATGACTGATTAAAAATAAACGCTACACCACTTATTTCTTCAGCTTTTGCTTCGGCTTCTGTTTTCTTATTTATAAAATTTGCAGTTATTGCAATTGCCAATTTTCCTCTAAATTCTTTTCTTTTAAACCCCTCCAATGTATTTCGCTTACCATCGGCTCCGATTAAAACATCGAATTCATAATGCGAGACTGCGTGATCTGCTGGTGTGACAACAGCTCTCCAACCACAGCCATCACCGCTTGGTTCAATGGTACGCTCGAATGATACACCCTCATGTATTTCGACACCCAGTAATAAAGCTACTTTGAGTAGTATACATTGCAGTTGTCGTATGGAGATATGATCTATTGAACCTGCGCAAAATTTACCATAAAATTTTTTTGCACCTAAATTACGCAAATCCGTTATAACAAAAGGCCATAAATGTAGTACATTATTGCGTGAGATACGATCACGTTTCTCAACGACGACAACTTTAGCACCTAACAATTGTGCTTCTATAGCTGTGCGCAATCCACAAGGACCCGCTCCTATGACTAGTACACGCGTACCGCTACACGCATTACCTTTTGCATAGACACGATGGGCAGCACGCGCATCAAATTTCTTCCATAATGCTTGAGCTTTCCATGAACGAATTTTCTGTTTCAATTTTGGATAGAATTCATTTATAACAGATGGGCGTATATTTATGACGTCGCACATATTTCTATGAAGTCCAAGTATCTGTCTCATGGTGGTCGCCATACAAAATAAATCGAACATTTCAGCCGCAGCTGCAGCAGCTTCATTGTCGGCCATTTGTTGTTGTTGGACCAACAATTGTTGTTGTTGCAACTTCTGTTGTTGACGTTGCCGACTCATTCTGTTTTAAAAGAAATTAAAGAAAGAATATTAATATATTAAATTTGCAAAAATCATTTGTTTTTCTAGTTTATCAAAATTTAATATTAATAAAGTGAAAAATTTTGAACCAAAATAAAATTTATACAGTAAAAATTTTAATTAAAAATGACATTTTAAAATTTATGAAAACATTTGAAGTATGTATTCAAAAATATCTAATTATATCTATAAAATATAAATATATCTATAAAATATAAATATATCATATAAAATATGAATTGAAAATATTTCAATGAGCTGACAATTTTTCATTAAAGACTGGGTTTGTTTCTCTTTTTGATTTAGGTAGATTATATATAGAGAATATGCTTCTTGAGAAAAAATAAAAAATTTTTGCAATTTTTACGGGATAAACTAGAATATTCTACAAATCTTTACAATGTACAATGTATTAGTACGTGGAAAAACACGACTTTTATTCAGTCGCGCATTCAAGTATTCATAAACAAAAGCTTAAGAGGAATACTGAAAATATGGTGGCCGGAGCGCATATCCAATACCGATCTCTAAGAATGCTGTCAGTGAAATCAAAAGAAGAAAATGAAATTGGATTGGCATGCTTAGCATACTGTATAACAAAACAAGCCGTACACTCAACGTCTACTAGGCAGCCACCAGGCTGAAGCCCCAGCTAAGACATGGCAAAGAATCGTGGGCCAGAAGCTTAAAGGTGCACAGTGCTTCTGAAATCAAATTACAAGAGAAGTAGACTACATAGTAAAATTTCCAGGAATCATTAAAGCCCTATGCTACACATCGAATGTTTTACTCTATTTATGAGTTTTTATTTCAAATGAAAAATAGAAAAAAAAATTTTCATTAAACTATTTTTATTGTTGATAAATAGTGGATATCTTACGACAATCTCATATGAAAATTATATGAAAATGGAATCATAAACATGTAATCATTTAACTGAATCTAAATAAATTTTTACGATAGATAGTTACAGTACTGATATCAACTTAGGCGTTTAATGAAGAAGGATTTGAGGATACCACTCAAATCCTATATATATCAACGTAGTTCATTACCCTAATAAAACAAACTTAGATTGTAAAAATAGTTTGAAAATATTAAGGGATTCAAATTGAATTACGTACTCTAACACATTTAAAATATTTTTTCATCATTGTTTTTTTGATAATTCCTTTTTTTATTAATAACTAACATTTGAATAACCTGAAATTATATATTCTCGAAAAGTGTGAAGAATATGGTTTTGAATTGATTACTATAGGTTAGGTTATACTTGCGATCCCTATGCGATCCACTCAGGCGTATTGGCTGGTTGTGTTACCGTATATATAGGAAACTCAGAATTTAAAACCACCTACAACTTTTGAGGAAGCTTAGAATGCTGTTTAGTGGTAGGTCTTGCAATTGTTCAAGATCCTCAAGAAAGGGAGCTCTTAAAGTGTTGAGTCGCATGAGCTGGGTAAAAACACAGTAGTTGAGAGACACTTTCACTACAGCTGTGACAGGTATGATTGAAAGGATGTTTCAATCTTCTAGCATGGTTTCCTAGTCTGCAGTGACCTGTAAGTAAAACTACCATAAGACTGATGTCTCTACGCGGCATCTCAATAAGAATTGTAGATTTTTTTTAGAGGAAAGTGGCCAGATTGCATGCAGATGCGTGCATATCATTAAGTATATATCAGCATAGCAAGAACTCAGCTCCATTTTCTATATTTGTCATGAAAACAGAGAAATTTTCAACTAAAAATTCTATGAAGGATAAAACAAAACAGTAAAGGTATTGATATTAAACGATAAAATAATAGAATAATTATATATTAATGTTAAGTAGCAGTTTAATAAGAAATAAAAAATAATAAATTTGCCTACAAAAACAGCAAACCAAGATTTTTTAAATAAAACAGAATTGTGTAATTAAAATTTATTACAATATTTTTTTTTTCAAATTATAAATACTTGTATGCAATGTTTCAAAAGATTAATTGCCACCAGCGACATAAAAAATAACAACAAAATAATAAATTACTAATAAAATATATATATGGGAATACAACAAAGGATTTTTTTATTATTGAAGATAAATATAAAATAATTATTAAATATTATTATATTATTATAATTAAAAATGTTTGGTAAATGAATTATTTACCAATTGTTACATAGTTAGTACTGTATAATACATGTTGTATGAGTATGAATCATAATTTATTCTTAAACGCTTCATAAAAGCAATAAAAAAGGATACAACAACACTCATATATTGTGAAATTAAGTGTATAAAAGGTTTTTGCACAGAGAAATGCGATAAATTTATAAGCTTCTTAAAGGTCAGTTGTAAAAAAATACAAAGAAAGCTTATAAATTATATTTTCCGACATATTAAGATGTTATTATTTATTTCACTGAAAGGACAATAAGTAATTCAAAGCTAAAAAGCTGGAAGATACTATAGTATTAATCAAGTGTGAAAGTAGCTTTAAAATTTCACATTTAATTTATATGTATATTAAGTATGTTTTCTTGAACGTCTTGTAAAATGATGAACATTATTTAAAGTACATAGATACGTGTATCTACTTGATTGTTGTCGTCGTCGTAATTGGGTGGTTACGACAACAATAACATTATTAATAATACAATTAATTTTAAAGTGCATTTATCTGTCAGCTCCTTCAAAGAAAGCATATTTATCAAGTGCAAGGCGTTGATGAAATTTAACGTCAATCTGTGCACATCTGGTGTACGTGTTTGAGGTTTGAACTCTTATTTTATAAACTGACATAAACCCAGACAACATTGGATGCGACCAGTTCAGCTCCTTTGTTTGATACAAATATTTTTAGTTTATTTTATACATTTTTGAACATTTTTTTCTTCTTAGTGTTTTGATGAATAAACTTATTCAAGCAGATAAAATGCTGATGATTTATTTAGAAGAACAAAGGATACAGTTGAAAACATTATAACAAGAAAAAAAAAAAATGATTCCTAAAAAACAAGGAGTAGTTAATAATACACTGGGGAAAATTTTAAAAGCAGCTTAATATGAAAACATGTCCAAGTCAATGCCTTTTCGATATCACCGACTGGATATGAAAGCGTCTAAACAAACTAATATTGAAGGAGGGAAATGTTCTTTGAATTGTAAATATTTGCACGACGATAATTAAAAATTTAGTTTTATTTTGTATTATGTCGATTTTTAAATGGAAAAACAGTTTTATCCTTTAGTACAGTGAAATTATATTTACTTCCATGTGTAAGTTTCCATTAGCATTTTCTTTATCCATTGTTGCCTATGTTGACCAGAATTTAGTGAACAAAATTTCCATTAATAAAGATATACTAATGAATAAGTGTATCTATTTATTTTGTTTGGATATTGATTAAGCATGTTAACGACACAAATAGTTATTATTATAATCTATACACCTAAATTAAATTGAGGAAATAGCGAAAGGTGAGTAGCAAAAAAATAATTATTATGATTAACGTATGTGTATATTACCTTTATCTATTCGTTTTAATTTTACTGAGAAGTACAAAATTCTTAATCATTAACTAAACATAACAGATAAAATCGATTTTAATTAAATATTATTTATCTACATATCAAAAATCCATTGACAATAAAAAACCACACTTTAATTGTAATAATGACGATAAATAAGTCTGAAAATTATTAAAGAATATATGTTATATCACAAAAATTGATAAATACAATTACTGTAATAATCATTGAGATTTCAAGAAGTTTATATTGAATTCGGCTGATAACCCTTAGGATGCACTTATAAGCTTCATAGAAAGTGATTAACTATGCGTAATGCTCAAATACCTTCTGTTCAATTTATGAATTTATAAATTATTTGGTAGATCATGTAAGGACATTAGCCGTTACAAACTTTTTACAATCGATATCCGCTCCCAACGGAGTGGATGATCATATTTTCATAAGTATGGTTTCAGGAATTCAAGAAGTGTAGTCAGTGCCGCTTTTAGCACTTCCAGTATCCTGGTCAAAATTACCAAGGCACCCCATATATACTATTGAAACCTAAATAAAAAAACTTGGTCTGCTACTCTGCTAATTGAAAAAAAATGGCGGTGAGAAATGCGTGTAACTGCTCGCGGCGACAGCGCGGATTATTGTGCAGTGCTCAAGATGATCTAACGTGTCTCGCAACGGTTTATAGTTCTAGTGCGTTTGGAAATAAAAATACTCAATGGAAAATCATTTATGATTTGAATCTGGTGTCTCTTCATTTCTGTCGTTCTGAGCTGTCCTCCAAACGCGCACATAACACCGCTACTGTGTATAGTATAACATTCATTACAGAAAAGCTTACATCAGATTTCCATGTACTAATTTTTAAGGAATATTGGGAAATCGTACTAAGATGATCTGACCCACGTTTTTAGTTACTGAGAACATTCCAGTAGTTGCTTTTTAAGCGATGTTTTAAGGGTTCAAATTGTTACCAAACGCATTACTATTTTCGTCAACTAATAATAAAAGCAATATCAATTTGACTAGATTTTAATGTCACTAACTATATTTTTTCAGTTAAGACTATTCAAGATGTGGATTGATAATTGTTGACATCGATTTATTAAATAAAATAATAATCTGCCAACACTTTGATTGTATTTTATCGAGATTATCCATCTGTAATCGGTGAGTTCTCTAAAATCTAGTTAGGAACTTATGTAGTCATCTCTTATTTTGATTAATTTATAAAAATTGCAGTTATTTTTAATAACCTCAAAATCAATGTTTTTTAAAACTATGTAATCGAGTGATTACATAGTTTTAAAAACGAATAGATATTGTATGAATCGCTTAGTTATCCTTCCCATACTTTTACGTCGTTTTCTAGTGGAAAGTTCTTTATTATATTTGGGATGTTCCATTCTATGTCAGCTACCATAATGAAATTCGTATTAATATATAGTTGTATAATTGATTTAAATATA